GCCGCCACCGCCCAAAACGGGCTGCATAATTCGAAGCTATCCCAGGACCCGAAAGATATTCCGTCTTCCGCAGCGAGGCCAAACAAGACACACACAGACACAGAAGACAAACAACATGAACAACAACGACAAAAAAGAAAAGAAAACAAGGAACAACGCCAAGAACCGAAATGTATGCCAGAGTGGCTTGTGCGCGTTCCCAGTGGCGCATTATTCAAATCGAGTTCGATATTATCTCTCAGTTTCCCGCTATTATCCCTACTTTAAAGTTTTGTCTCCTGTATACAATATATTTATAAAACTCTATGTCTGTGTGTTTGTGTGTTTTTTTTTTTCTACGTCGAATTGTTGTAGTGCTTGTACAACCTTCGCTGAGAACCGCTTACAAGAGGGAAAAAGCGTTTTAAGGTGTTTTTCTTCCTTCTTTTGGCTGTTTTTGTTGGTTCGCCTGGCGTTTACAAACGACGTGGAGTTTACAACGAATGATGCGATCGACAAGAACCTCTTCGTGTCTCGAGAGTGCGAAGCTGAAAATGTGAAGTAGCAATTGAGAACTCGTTTTCTTTTCCTTGCTTACTTGTTTCGCTTGGGTATAGCTCTTCCGCGTTTTTGGTCGTGTGTGTGTTTTTTCTCGTTGCTGATTTGATACTGGTGCTCGTAAAATTGTTATCTGGAAATCATTGTGAAATCACTGGGTAGGATTGAGGGCGCTGAAAGGAAAGCGTCGGCGTAAGCGAAGGAATCGTGAAAAAAACAAAAAACAATAAAACAAGACTGTATACTGAAGAACGGTGTTGCAAAGAGGATCGAAGGAATCCTCTTTCACCTTCTAGTGTGCATTCAGGCAAATGAGATTGAAGCGTAAGCGTAGTTGCCCCTTGTTATACGCGCTAATAGCTCTGCGACGTGGTGGTAGAAACTAATTATCCCATATTAAGTGTACGATTAAGATGTCGGTTCTAATGAAACTGTGCTTCTTGCGCTGACATTTGAATTGGCATATAGATGACGAGACCTCGAGTTATATTCTGCACGGAAAGGGTTCACAGGTACTACGAATGCTTGGGAGTAACAGAAAGATACAAAGGAAAAAAAAACACAAAAAACACGTTAACGTTTTTTTTTTTTTTTTTTTTTTTTTTTAAGCGGTGTTTGGTGCACTTAGTGCAAGTAACGTCGGGTCTTTGATACCCATATTACCATCGATCTAGTTGCTGACAGCTTACAAAATGCGATGCGTGGCGAGTCCCGCCGAGCATAGCATTATTATTTTGAAGCCAATGAGATTGCAGCATTAGCAGATAAGAATGCAGAAGAGCCAATCACGAAGCAAGAAGCCACGCCCCCTGCGTTTCTTAAGGTCTCGCGACGACCGGAAAATAACCGCCGCTCTACTCCATGCCACTAGTTGTGTGCAGTGCATGCGAAGGCAACGCCAGAAGGAGAGAGAAAGGGCGAGCGCCAGGAAGGTGGGACGGGAAAGGAAGGTGATGGAGGACGAGATGAGAAGAGAGCACTAGGAACGTTAGAGAAGAGAGGAGGCTTCCCTCCTGGGGGGGAGGGGGGGGGAGGAGGAGGAGAGGAGGAGGAGGGGGGGGGGGGAAAGCCAGCCTAAGATCTGCCTTCTAGTGCTCACCCTTTCTCCCCTCGCTTGGTGTTGTCTTCGCCTGTACTGCACGCAACTAGTGACACGTAGTATAGTGCCAGACTTTTAGACGTTACTGAAAAAGGTAACATATTACAATTACAATTACTTCACTGTAAAAAGTAACCGATTACAGTTACAATTACAGCCTCAAAAAAGTATTCGATTACTTCTCACGGTACTTTTCATTCAACTTTTTTTTTTTTTTTTATTACGGCACCATAATTCTTGGGGTCTCGCCGCTCAGTTGTTCCGAAAAAAATATAAAAAAGAAAGCCTTGACCGTTTTTGCTTAGAGCTGACTAAGTCACGTCAACACACCCTATCCCTTTCGTGAAAAAGAAATAAATAGAAAAAACCGCTGTTTATATACATTACTGCAAGAGGCTGAATAATGTCATTTTTCATACCCAAACGTAGTCTCCGGTGTACAAAAAAAAAAAAAAAAAAATGTACCCCAGGAAACGAAGCATAGTGAAGTGGCCTACTAATCCTCGAGGTCCCGTGCTTAATGTTTTCGAAAAAGGCAACAAAAATTGACCGCTGGCCAGAGCTGAGTGACTCCAGCACATCTGACTCCCCCCCCCCTTCCCCCCCCCCCCAAAAAAAAATAATAATAATAAAAATTGCAATGGTTAATTTATAAATCGATTACAGCAAAAAAAGTAATTCAATTACAGGGATCGTTACTTCTTAAAGGAAGTAATCGAAGCGTTACAATATTACAGTAAAATGCAATCAATTACAAGTAATCCATTACTTGTAACGCGTTACGTAGAAGTCTGCAATAGTGCAGAATGCCTCCCCGCGCTCAATGAGCGCGAGCGCTGGGATTATCCCTGAGCAAAAGCCGCATTTCTTTCTTACTTTTTGCACCTGCTTATGCGAAAGAGCGCGACGCCCTCGAAACCCGCGGCTACTACAGTGATGTAGACGGATTTTACGTACACATCGATAACAGCAACTCCACTCCACACTCGCAGTTTGGTATCCTCGTACGAATCCGGGCATGGTCATAACACTCAACAAAGTATACGAGAGAAAAAAAAAGTGTGTGTGTGTGTGTGGTTGAGGGGAAAAGGAAAAAGGGGGAATCATGGTTTTCTTTTTTTTGTAACTTGTGTTACTTAAGTTGCGCGAAAAGCGCTACGTCACGGGGGCTGTCTTCTTTCCGTGTGAGTGTTATCCCCGGCGAGGAAGCACAGTCGAGCTCTATGAACGCGCCGGGTTAAATTCCTGACAAACGTCACCTGAGGGAATCCTTCCTAGCTGGCACGGAGCACGCGCGAGAGAAACGCGGCGGCGCGTGCAATCTCAGAAACCGGAGTACAGTATATAGTATATAGTGTGTATAAATCTCGAGTGTTTATTATGGCCTTCCTAAATGAACTACCTGTGCCGAGGATTTCGGAATGTCCCGAGGGTTAAGCGCAGCGGCATCGTGAATCAGGTGCGTGCGTCCGCAAGAGGTGAAAGGTTCGGAAAGCGGATCGCTCGTTAATTAAAAGTTGCTTCGGGTATCGGGAGAGAAAAAGTTTTTTGGCACTGGCGTGCTCCGCGCGCAACCTGGGGTTCAGCGCCGCAAAAACGGTGTCAGAGCGTGATGGCGAGGACGCACTTCGCGGCGGAGTGGGCGCGCGGGGATGAAAACATCCTTCGTCGTGGACTGCATTCGAGAAGAGCTTTTTGAAGCGCCGCCAGCGGGCGGCTGTGCGGCGATCATCTGCGCGCGGCGTGTTTTTATTTTAGTACCGTGGATAAAACTTGCAACTGAGCGTTTTAAAGACATTTAATACGGAAGGAATCCGTGATGTCAGTATCTAGGTACTATCGGGGAAAAATGAAATGCGAACAGAGGAGCGCGTGGCTCGCGGTACAGGCTGCGCCGCCTGGAAGTGAGCCTAGGGGCGAGGGTGCGTGGCCTACTCCGACGTGTTCACGCCCCTCCCTCTGCGCTCCTCAAGCTTTAGCAGTGCGCCTCAGTGCGCTGAAACCTATCACCGCTATTCTTGCTGGCTCAGCGCGTGCGGTGCAAAGAAGCTCGCCGCACTCGCCGAGCTGGCAAAGATAGCGGTGACAGCTTTCAGCGCACTGAGAGGCGCACTGCCGAAGCTGGGGGAGCGCCAATCGAGGGGCGTGAACACATCGAAGTAGGCCACGCACCCTCGCCCCTAGGTTCACTTCCAGGCGGCGCAGCCTGTACCGCGAGCCACGCGCTCCTCTGTTCGCATTTCATTTTTCCCCGATAGTACAATTAAGTGACTATACGATTCGTATAGTTACCTAATTGTACCTAGACACTTGAGGTACAATACAGGTTCTTCACGTGTTCGTAATCTGCGATCCTAGGTACTTTTGTTCCCTGGTAACTGTAACAGTATCTTTCACTTCGTCTCGCGTATAGTTGTAGTGCAGTGGACGCTACGAATCGATAGGTGTAATCGAATATCAACAAAAGCTCAATTTCTCTCTCAATTATTCCGCCCCCCCCCCCCTAAAAAAACTAAATAAAAAAAATCTTGCCGGGACATCTACCGTACCATACTCGTTTCAAGAACTCGTTTCTTAGTAGCTATTTATAAACAAACTGCCGAGCGAAAAAGTACCGCAGTAATAACATGTATTTGTATACACAAATTAATTTTTGATGAACACCTAACCTGTCCTTTACAAGTGATCAACTGCAATTGTATTAAGCTTCATTTACGAAATAATTCGTTAAAATCGTGTAGCCTCAAAACTAAATCTAAGCGTCCTTAAAAAAAAAAAAAAAAAGTGGTCAGTAAATTTGGTTTGTTTTGCCCGGTTCAATGTGCCCGCTGGTCTGGCACTCTCTGACGGGCACCTTACGGGGCCAGGAATCGTGGTTTATTGTTCTTCTCCCAAAAGCTGAAAACAATACCGTGTTCAATAAAAGTGCTTTATTACACGAAATTAAAATAACTCAATAATTTCATAGTTACTCCAAGTATATAGTCAATGGCAGATAGAAAACCGCAAGATATCGAGGACCTTCTTATCGCTCCGCAGGCAATGACATCGCCGCATTGGTCGGTAAGACCACCGAAGAACCAAGTACAAAAGCAATGAGTCGTAACGCGATTTCCCACGCGTTACATTCCTTAAGCTTTTGGTGTCTGTAATTCCAGTAACAAAATATACTTCCAACTAAGGTCGCTGGACAAATCCTTTAAAAGTTTTCAACTCTAACATGCTAAAAAAAAAAGAAAAAAAACCCGTCAAACTTCTGTTTTTGTACGGTACATTTGCAGTTCTGGGGTATTGTGCAGCTCGACGGATCTGACATGTTGTGTGTGTCTCTGTTTGGCCCCTCGGGCCGCTTTTCTTCGGGCAGGTCGCTATTGCGGGACCGGTCGCATTCCCGAGATGCTTCTGAGCACGGGCTACCGTCTGCTCATCGTCTACCGGACCTCGAGCAACCAGAACGGCCACATCGGGTTCAGAGCCTACTACGAAGGTATTGTGTCCGGGGCTACAATCTCGGGCCCTCCAGGAATGCGGGCATCTCTATGGGGGGGGGGGGGGGGGGGGAGGGGGGAAGGGGGGGGGGAGGTGCTTGCGCTGGGTATGCGCCCCGCAAGTGCCTGCGGCCTCTGGGCTTTGAACCGGGATTGGAGAGCCCGGGGACTACGGACATCTCTTTGTCACTTTTTTTCTCTTTTACGAACGGATATAAGAAGCTCACTTTATTGCGCGGGAGGTGGAAATATATATCCTGGTGCACTCCAAGAAATCTGGAGTGTTTACTTTCCCGCTAATCACTTGGGGATAGCCAATCGCCGCAATCCACGGAGGGAGATTGGACGAGGACGAGGATGAAAATATGCTTAGGGCTAAAGGGAAAAAACAAAACAAACTCTGCACTGTGACGTCGATCAGACGTAAGCACGTGAAATTCCTACTATACGATTTGCAAACTTAAGATGGAAAAAAATGATTTACGGCGATTTTGCCACTCATTGATTACTAAGCGTTCAATCAAGATAGGGAATACCTACAGGCGATGGGTCTCTGTTGTTACAACTCAGAAGAGCCTCTAAAAGTTAAGGGATTCAGACGAAAGCCGCGTTCAAATCAAAACAGGCAACAAAACTGGCACTGTGACTTATACTCTAGCCTATATATTAAACATTAATAGCTCTGCAATTGGGAGGGCTTCTTTATTTTCTTATGTTCCTCGGGGGAACAGCAGTGCACACTTTATCTGTTTAGCCTTGTGTAAATTACAGGCTCCAGAAGAACGAAAAAACAATCGTGCAGATGATCGGCAAAACAACGAGGAGTTATGTCGCCACGGTGAATACTCTATGTTCTTCGAACTGCAAAAACTCACGCTTGGCTTTGCGCTCCTGAATGTCTACGTCCTCAGTTGCCTATGAAGTATGAACGCATATTTTTTTATTTTCTCTATTATCCGGGCCAAAGTCGCGCTAAATGTTATACGACCGCCAGTTTGCCGTGCCGATCCTGTCGCCAAAATCGTAGAAACTTAACAGAACCGAGAGTCTTTCAAGAGAAAGTGGCTGCAGTGCGAAGGAACTTTCTTTATTTTGTGTTGCTTTTATGTCTAGCGAAATTGCAGAATCAAACAAAAGCAAAATGTCGAAGAAAAGAAAAAGATTTCTTTCGTCGTACAAATCACGCGTTTCTTCAATCGTCGAGATTTTAAAAAGAAAAAAAAAACACTTTTGTTAAGGCGCGATTTTCGCCGCGCTTCCTCGGTTACGAACGAGGAGTGCTATCCGTGACCTCAGGGTGGAAAGCGGCGGGCGAAGCTTCCTTAATATTAGATAACTGTATGTCAGTCACACGAGCGTGCGTTTTATTGCTCTCCCGCTTTCCGTGTGGGTTCTCTTTTTATATCTATTTCTTTTTCTTATCATATACATATAGGATTTGCCGTAATTCGGTTTCTGTCTGACGGGCTAGAACTCCCGAGCCGCGCGCTTTTCAATGAAAGAAAACCAGAGCTCTAAATTTCGCGTTTTCCTTCTGTTTTATACCATGAGGCGAGTCGTGGCGAAGGCATCAATTCAGCTGGGCGAACCAGAGAGCGCTAAGACATTAGTTTCTCCAGTGAGACGACCTAGTCGACTGGCAAGAAATATAAATCAAGTCACAGCAATCTCCGCTTGCCTGTCTGGATATCATTGAGGCGTTGGAAATGAGATAGGACATAACGCCTTCCGAGTGTACTTCTGGTTCGCCCGTAGAGTTAAGAAAAGCGGGGAGTGACTTATTTTGTTCGCGCCTCTTCCCTGGTAAGGTGTGCTTCGGCGTCCTTGTCAGCCAATGTCGCAATCTCATCGTCTACGGAGCTATAATGGGGTGCTGAAGACTCACCAGTGCCCCGCATTTTTTTAAGCTGTGAATGCCTATAATGAGGTGGGATGTCAGTATACCACGGGGCACTGACTTGAGTAAGAATATTTGGTGTTCGCCGCCCACCCTCTACGAGTTAAATAGCGAGAAGTCTCCAATATTCTCGAATAGGCAACAACTATTTTTCGAGCGAAAACAGAGCAACAAATCAAAACCCAGTCTTTAGTGAGAAACCATTCCAAGTACATCCAACAATAATAAGCCTTCTACAAATTACGCAGTGTGGTCTGCGAAACCGCACGTCACTGTCCTTCACTAACAGATGCGACACCTCACGCAATCGTTCCATCGAGACACACGTCTCCTACATCAATTCCACAGAAAGCGAGGAACCCATTGCAGACGTTGTGCAGTACATTGGCTTAGGTCGAATCTCCAACGTGCCTTTTCATAACACACAAGCTACCGTCGTCGATGGCAGCAATCTTTGTGTTATTGTTTGCAATTTTCGGATGTTTTCTTTGCAGCGGTTTGCGGTGGCGACGTGGATCAAGAAGAAGGCGTGCTCCAGAGCCCCAACTATCCGGACGACTACCGGCCGAACAAGGAGTGCGTCTGGAAGATAACCGTGCCCGTGAATTACCAGGTGGCCCTCAAGTTCCAGTCCTTCGAGGTGAGCACGGTCACTTGTTTGGTGTACTCACTGAAGAGTTGCGAAGTGTGAACTCTCGATGGAAGAATATTATGAGGCTGTCGTCACATCGCGGTTTTGGAAATACACTTTCGTTTGGGGATTATTGCGTCCTGTTCAGGCCCGGGATGCAACCTGTTGTTCGAAAAAGGAGATTTCGATTGCGAAATGTGTTTTTTCAGGTCGTTAGAAGGCGGTTACCGGGTGGGTTTCTTCGTAACTTGAAGAGCTAACGATGGTCGGACCAACCGAGCATTACATTTCGCAACATATATCCCAAGGCCGGGTTGCTGACGGATGTTTCTTTTGTCAATTACCCATCACCGTATATACACGGATGTATCTGCATAAATAGAAACGCCCATTCGTTTCCGCGTTGACATAACCGCCAGGATAACTTTCTAAATTCGAACGCATCATCTGCTCTTCGGGTGCCGGTAACGCGGCACTGACTGACACGTGTCGTGTTGCCTCGCGCGTTGTTGCGCTACTACCGATGCATGCAAGCACAAAAATATACCTTGGCGATTAAGGATCTCCAGTCCTCCAGTCTGCCATGTTCTGTTTCTAGGCTGCAGGAAGTGTGTACTTGAAAGTAACGTTTCAAGGCTTCGTAGAAGAGGAGGAAAACAAAATGGTATATGTTGCGTGATTGACGATGGCTGTTGCGTCACGGACGCCCCCAGGTAGAGAACCACGACAACTGCGTGTACGACTACTTGGAGGTTCGGGATGGGCACGATGCGGGCAGCCCGCTCCTGGGCAAGTTCTGCGGCTACCGGACGCCCGACGACCAGCGCTCGTCGTCCAACAAGATGCTCGTCAAGTTCGTCTCCGACAGCTCGGTCAACAAGCCGGGCTTCTCGGCCACCTTCATGAAGGGTGCGTCCCCAGACTACGTTCGGGCACCGAAGGAAATCTGTTCACAGTAAAAACTGAAAAAAAAAAAAAAAAAAAAAAAAATATATATATATATATATATATATCGACGTGTACGCCCAAAACACGCATCCGCAAAACAAAACACCCCCTAGAAAAATTGTAGCCTCTAAACAGCCTCATGTATACTTCCACGTAAGGTATAATAACGCTCGGAAGCCGTCCACTTAGTAATTGTGCCCAAGCCGGACGCCTGTCGTCCTTCGACGCGTTGATTGGATACGATGCCCAACTGAACAGTGACGCAGCACTCGTGTTGAATCTTTTTTCTTCACTCGAACTTACTGTAATGACGCCGAAATGCTAGTGCAGAGACTTCGATTATTCAAGGTGGTGTTGATCCGCACGCGTTGATCCATACGCGGAGAATTGCTACTTATAGCTTACGCCATTGTTTACATCATTTTGAATTACGCGTGATATCTCGGCACATAACGTAATTTTTAGTATTTTCAAATTCATTCAGGTATACCGTAAATTTACTTGGCTTCCACCTGGAATAACTCTCCCACTTACGCGCTTGCGTCTATACAATTAACAGTCCCGTTAATTCAAGTTTAGGGGTCTAAAAATGTTTGCGTGTGCATACAGAGAGACACACACACGCACAAACAAACACAGTCATAAACACGGCCAATAAAACACAATCGTTGCAGGCGCGAAACTACTACCAGTTCACTCATAGCCGCATGCATAGTTTGAGAATATAAGTTTATTCCGTGTGTTCAGTTCATTTGAAAACGAATTTGACATACCACGACCCCTTAACCGCTCATTCACACTGGAAGCGGATCCGCGTTCGCAAAGCGGTTGCGAACGCGGTTGTATAAAAATCCAGTACAATTGCACGCGCACTTGATGTCATCGAGTGCGCGTGCAATTGTACTGGATCTCTACACAACCGCGTTCGCAACCGCTTTGCGAACGCGGGTCCGCTTCCAGTGTGAATGGGGGGTAAGAGAGGCAAGAGTATGCAGCCGCTAAAGCGCGATTGCGCAAAATGTGCTGCTCGCACGAGCGCTCGTGTAAGAAAAAGCAGGAAACACGCGCGCCTTCAAAAGCGCCTTCTACGTCGGTTCACGGAGCTCGCCCGATAAGAGCACGGAAGCTTGTTTTGTTTCCAGCCTCAATCTTGGCGCCGCATTAAGAAATTTTAATTCGTTTTAGAAAGCGCCGCACCGTTGTGCGCTCTAGCAATCTAATGTCCCTCGAATTTGCCAGCCTCCGCAAGGACACATCTCTCGAGAAACAGAGGGACATCTGTATACTCGTGCGATGTTGGCATTGACTTTCGCGAAAAGGAAACCAGAGAGCTGCCGAAGAGAAAGCCGCCAATTCAATTAGACCCGGGCTTGGAAGTCAAACGCGGCGAAAGCCTTCATTCGGAGACCCTCCAAAGGTCACCCTCGATCTCCCCCCCGCTGCATCAACTATAAACTTTGTTTCTCCGTGAGTTGGCAAAGAGAGAACGCTGTACGTTCCCCTTCCGAGCCAATCACAACGACGGAGGCGAACCGCGTGACATCCCTTTTTACTAAATGTCACTATTCACCCACTCGGAGATTAGCCCGTCATTCAAAATTCGCACAAAACCGGCTTTCCTTTCTTTCTCCCGCCCGTGGCTTTGACGGTATTGCGCCCCATTAGCCAGGTCGAGTAGAGTCGCGTATCTTCTTCCGGCGCGCTGATTGGCTCTCTGATTGGGTCTCTGGGGCTGTAACCTTCGCCGTTTGCCAAGGTACGGTGAGACGAAACTACAGATTGTTCGCAGGGGGACTCGTTGCATGCCAAGCGTGAGCGAGAGATTAAAAAGATAACAATAAAAAGATATAACAAAAAGGGTCGTGGCTGCAAGTTAGGCGTCTTGGAGAGCTGGCAAATGGATCTTGCGCGCGTAGCCTTGAACAAAATGGAACCGCGGCGGCGCATCCCGCTGCTGTCGCTCGAACGCGTTGCCAATAGGATGCTCCCTTGGCAGGTCGTCCTGATCACCGTTATTAAGGTGTTTACAAAGGTTGCCCGTTTATTTTTGTGTTTATTTCGCGCGCCTGCGCTCCCGTCTGTATTTATATATCTGCTTGTTTGTATGCGTGCGTTTGCGTATGTGTATGTATGCGTGTACTTTCGTGTGTGTGTGTGTTTTCGTGTCTTTTTTTTGTTATAAATGAAGCTGCCTGATTTTGTTGGAGATTGATTCTGGTATGCTTACGCGCGTATGGTTTTATACTCGTTTATTTTTTTACCAACACGATTCCATTGTACAGACCCCATTATAAATCTTCGTTAGTCTCGAAAGCTGCCTGCCGCGTACGTGGCGGCACTCAGGAGCAACAGCGGGGATAAGGGATTGGACGATATTATATTTTAATTCTGAAGCCACTTTTTTTTTTAACTAGAGAACATCGAGAGATTAATATTGTGTCGGCTGCTTAGTTATTAACTATTTAATGTACTCAACCGAACATTGTGTCTGCTGAAAACTAAAAAAAAGTATTTTTTTTTTTAGATTGTTAGTGCGAATTGCATTATGTCTGATTAAAAAAAAAAAAGAAAAAGACGCTACCGAGGAAACAATATATTTCTCCCGGCCGATAGAATTGTCAGAAATATACAATGCAAGGGATCTAATTTTATTGCACGCTGAATTAGAGTGAGTAATAAAACTAATAAAGCTATGTGAAAAAAAAATTGACAGCGACTTTTACTTTCAAACTTTTATAATGCTTGAAATGCAGTATTCGAGGGGCGACCGTTTAAACTTTTTTAGGAAGCATTAAACAGTCTTTTCGGGTTGTCACTAAGAACCTATATATTTATCCATAAGTCCTCTGAATATAGCGCCGAGACTGAATTCGTGTACAAGTCACGTGACGTCCGGGCACGTGATATTAACTTTCCCGCTAAATTTAGCGGGAAACGCCCGGACGGATGGACGGAAAAAATTTAGGCATTTGGGGCTTCCGAGAAAAAGCATTTCGTGCTTTCAAATGTTACGTTTGTTGTTCTCGTTTTTCAGAGTACGACGAGTGTCAGAAACCCGACCACGGCTGCGATCACGAGTGCGTGAACACGCTGGGAGGTTACAGGTGCGAGTGCAACATCGGCTACGAGCTCCACTCGGACGGCAAGAAGTGCGAAGGTGAGGCCGCGAAGAAGTTCCGTAGTACGTGGATTGCTCCTGATGTCACGTCCAACCATGCTGGTGGCCATTTTATATACATGTACAGTGCCTCGAACGCGTCTCCCACTGGTGTGTATACCGCGTCTAAAAAAGTGGTCCCTCGATTTCCGCCCGATAAAGTCATAAAAGTGTCGCGGTGTCGCCGGTTGCGGTCCTGGCGGTGTGCCAGCAGCGGTATTGGATGTGGGCGACGCCTGTTCCGCTGTAGGTCACTCTCCAGTGCTTGCAGTCCACGGAAGCTCCAGCACCCGCGACGACAGCGACACTCGCGATCGCTCTGGCTTTTCGCCAGTATTTTGTCTGTCCTTGAGAGGTCCTTTGACGCCCCAAGACTCCTTCAGCTCGAGAAGAACGGTTTCGCGCTAGCGCTCTCGCTCCCTGGCGCACTAGAAATGCAACTAGGCAATAAAAAAACTTTTTGCGCATGAAAAAAAGGAGCCTAAAAGAAGCCTTCTTAGGTTTTTTCGCGAAGAACCCCTTTAGCGGGTTACTTAAAAGAACTCTTTTAGGGTGCAAACTATGGACAAGTCGGAGAACCCCTAAAAGTTATTTGTACGTTAAAGCGTTAGGACTGAGACATCAAACAGCAGAACACTTCGGCTTCTTTGACGTCATTTGTTGCTGCCACGGGACCACCTCTGACGTATGGGCGGTATAGGACGAATAACACACCAGTCGGAGACGTGCTTCGGGCCCCGTAATACTTGTTCCAATCGAAGAGAACAAATGTGGCGGTGCGAAACATATGCTGCACAAGGAACTCGCTCAGTATCGAGACCACGACAGTGCCAGCTGACGATGACGTGAAAGCAAACCACGTGTTACTATACTCTCTCTTTGTAGTTTTAGATATTTCCATCCATTACGAGGGTACTGAGCGCCATGTGTATAGGTAGGCATAGCATTTCGTTTCTCGAGTGTTTTCCTTCATGGCACATGTGCAGACGCGTGCGGCGGCGTGATCGAGGCGTCGAACGGCACCATCACGAGTCCCTCCTTTCCGGACCTGTACCCGTCGAACAAGAACTGCATCTGGGAGATCGTGGCGTCGCCGCAGTACCGCATCACCCTCAACTTCACCCACTTCGACCTCGAAGGAAACAACGTGAGCACGCGCCCATCTTCTCGCGTATTGCTTGCGCCGCGGCATTCGTAACTCTTAAAGCCCGTTATCGCGGAAAAGTATCCCGATTCTTTCCTCTCCCGGCCTCTTTCTCCCTGGCTGGACGACGCCATTTTTGAGCGGAATGTGCCTGCGAGGAGGAATCATTTGGAGCAATGAATAGCGTCGATTTCGCATGTTGAGGCGCGTTAGTAACTTCAACCTCGCGCGTTTCATCCCCGTTCCTCCGTTTTCATAATGTTACCGCTAGGACGCACCAATTTTCGCTGCAACATTCGGATAGGCGCAAGCTTCCCCGTTTCGTTAGCTGAAGCCTTCGCCGCTGGGTGGCGTCGGGTCCCTTTGAGTTTCCTATAGGTGGCGTTTATTGATCACCGTATTTTGGCTCATTGCTCACGGTACCTTATTTCCCGAGTTCTGGTCTGTACCCAGTGTCCGCAGGGGCAAATTTGGGTTCAAGAATACAAGTTTTTGCTTAGACACCCGGTGCATATAGTCCGCACGCCGTTCTTAACCAAACGTAACAAATATCGTACACAGCAAATCCTGACAAATGCCTGCTGTATTAGCTCGCAAAGAAGCTTGTATCATACATAAATCAGCATTAATATACTCTGTTATTCATAAAATCCTTTACGTCTTTACACAGTGAACAATTTAGGAAAAAACAAATCCTGGTGTAGACCGCACCTGTAGATAGATATCACCGGGTAAAATTTCAAATTTGGAACATGCATAGTCCGTTAACTATAATCCGAGAAGTATGGAATAGATGTCAGGGTACGTAAGTAAACTAAACAAACAAGACAAGAGACGCGCGTGCAAGAATAAATTGACACGGATCTGAAGTGGCAGATGTATACTTATTCTTCCCTAAATCTTCTCCACCTTAAGGATTTGCCCTAAAATCATTATGGCATCTAAATACAATAGCCGATGAGATCACTTTATTCTTTTGTTTTTGCGTGTGTTTTTCACGTACCCCGATTGACACCAAGTCTTTCCTTAATAAAAAGTAATACACTAAATTTATGCGCAAAGTATGCTTAAGCTATGCGCCGAGAAACTGGGTGAGCGGAGGAAACGAGAGCGCGCGGGGGACATCAGAACGCGGCTCTCTGATTGGAAAGATTACGGGGTAGACCTAAAGCTATCTGCCTTTGTCTCCACTCTCCACTCCACTCGTCTAACTCGTTAGAACGCGGAACGCCGGCGTCCCGCGTTTGGCTCTCGCATTCGAACGTGTTCGACGAGCGCAGTGGAGACAAAAGATGCTAGCTTTAGGTCTACCCAGACTTGTGCACGTTACTGAAAAATACTAAGGAATTACATTTACAATTACTCAAGGCTAAATTGTAATTTATTACAATTACAATCATCCTCGACGTTGATGACTGCTCCGTAATTTTCTTTATCGCGCGTTGGGGAATCGGATCCGTCCTCGTCTTCACGTTCATCGCTTTCATCTGCGCGACCGAAGCGCGCTTGGCTGACGCAGGTGTCGGATAACTCCGGTGCCGCTGGCGTGCGTGTGTTGTGTCGGCGGAGTTGCTTGACGTTCTCCTTTCTTTCGTTTTGTCGTCTTCTTATTGAATGCATCCTTTTGATGACCACCGTGTTTGGGGTTGGAAAAGACTTGATCTGCTCCGATGCCGCAGTAAGGCCCGCTTCAGACGGGGCCATTCCGCCCAACAACTTCACGTCGCAACACCAGCAACACGGGCCGCCCGCGTACACACGCAGCAACCGAATTGCTACGACTTAGCATCATCATCCTGAAATTTTATTTTTCTTGCACTATATAGATGCACAGCTATGCGCTAAAAACGTGCTTTTATATCTTTAAATGGCATTGAGAATACTAACTAACGTTTTTTGAAAAGGTTTATTTCCGAAAACGATCCATTTCAAACCAGAACCAAGTCTTTAGCTGTCATCATCACCACCACAGAGGTGTCACGTGAAAATATCGCGTCCCTGGTTAGCTGCTGCCTCTTCAAACGTCTCCGAGTTGTCCGAATTGCTCGTCCGTTTCGAGTCGGACCTGATCTCAGCAATTCGTGTCGATCTAGGGAAATTGCTGGAAAAGTTGTCCCGTCTGAAGCGGGCCTTAACGAAGTCGCCAATCTTAAATCTCGGAGTCTTCTCCTTGCGTCATACCGACTTTTGGCCGAAGCTTGAAAGTTTTCCCATTTGTCTTTCGCGTCGTGCCGCTGTCTCGCCAACCTGTGGAGTCTAGTCGTCTCGTCTTTCGGCTGGTTGACCTCAAGCGTCGGTGCAGCATATTCGCTTTGGCTTTCGCGAACAATTCCACGCTCCCTGTAGTCTTCGACCCGTTGTTTGATGAATTCCCGGTCGGATGGGGAGCATCGATAGGAACTTGACGCCCCAGGGATCTCGTCGCGTAGCTCGATGGTATGCTCGGCGTGTGGGCAGGTGCCCAGTTGTTCCTACACCGTCGTAAACGCAGCGTGGTATTTTGTGAGTATCCCAAAGAGTCTTTCGCGTTCTTCCGGCGAAGCGTCTTCGGTAAGGCTTTCCACAGCCGTGTGGATACGTTGGATTAGGGCTGCTTCGATGTCATTTCGTGCTGGCTCGAACTTCCCGAACATGGCCAGGCGTTCGGCTTGGGGCAGATTCTCGTAAAATTTGGACACTAGAGCTTTTCCGGAGATTGTCGTTTTTGGAATCTTGGCGGGCGAATCGTAACGTTTCGGTAGTTCAACGATAGTTATGTCGTTCTAAACGTGAAACGTGACTTCCACGTTAGCGAGTTGCCGCCAATCTGATCCGAGAAGTAGGTCAATTGACTTGGGGAGTGGAAGAATGAGTATTTCCGGTACCTTGACCGTCGTTGATCCAACGCTGGTCGTCAGAGACGTGCACTTGTCAGGCGTCAGCTTCTCCAAAACGTTGACGAATTCCTCTACTCAGGACCACGGCGACACGCAAGAGTCCTGGGGTAGTGCCATGGGATCGATGATCGATATATTGGCCCCAGTATCGATGCACGCCTTCAAAGGACGGTTCATCTCCGTGAAGGTGGTGACAATAGGGAGAGAATCTCCTGTCGTGCACAAGAAGTAGTGGGCATTCTTCTCGTTTGAACCCGTGCACTCTTGCGCGTGTTTCTCCTCTGCGTGGATGGTCGCTGCAGTTTTCGGCTCTGGACAGTCCCTGGAGAGGTGACCGGGCTGATCGCAATTAAAACAGTTGCTCTGCCTCGTGCATTTGAAGGGTTTCCGTGATGGGGCTTTCGTCAGGGTGCCGGTCGGGGCGCCTGTCGTCTGCTGCGTTGATGCCGCATGTTCGAGCACGCCTTGTTTGCGTGGTTGAGTCTTTTCTCTGGGGCGGCGGCGGTCCAGAGTCGTCGCGCAGTCAATCAGCTCGAGGACCGACTTACAACCTTGGGCTGCAAGGGGATTGGCCCACTTGTCCTCGGTGATTCCGTGTAGGATTAAAGAGATCTGTCGGCTGACTCCTAGCTCAGAATGCTCGAGCATGCTATTCTTCGCGAAGATGTACTGCACAATGCTCTCGTTTTGGCGGAGCTGTCGGCGTTGTTGATACTCCAAGAATTGTTGAAGTCCCATTTTTCCTTGGAAGCGTTCCTTGATGGCTTCCTTCCATACTTCCCAGTCGTCGATCCGGGAACCGTATGACTTGTGCTAGTCTCGCGCGGCACCGTGAAGGCGGGTGACTGCGTTGAGCAGGGTGAGGTTTGGTGTCCAATTTGCGAGAAGAGCCACCCATTCGATTTCTCGAAGCCACTCAGCGACGTTTTCGTATGACTCCCCCTCGAACGTGGGAATCGCGTGCGAAGTGTCGCTCGTGGAGTGGACGCGGAGAGGCCTTATGGATTCTCGTAGGGTCTCGGCCAGTTGTTCTTGCGTTTGGACGATGATCGACAGCAAATCAACCGTTGTTGCGTTACCGCTCACCTGCGTTGTCGTGCCCAGCGCAGAAGCATCCGTCGTGGTTACTTCTCGTTCTGGACCGTTTCCGTCCGTCACGTTGACGCCATTTTCTGACTTCCGTGTTGAAAGTGCGTTGTTGAAGGCCAGGATAAGTTGCTGGAGTTGAATTTTCATATCTTGTATCTCTTGACGCATGGTGTCCTGCTTGGCGACTTCCGTTCCGTTGTTGGAGTCCGTGATCAGGGCGTGATCACCGGTTTCGTTGGACTCTGCGGATTCTGTCGGCTGCGCCATGTCAACGGTGGCCGGGTGCTGACGTTTCATTATTTAGTAATGCGATGTCGATTTGAGAAGAAAATGAAATAACGTTTATTATACTGGATTAACTTCTGGTTACATGAAGGGGTCTCTTTTGAGTGCCGTTCGTGGCGTGCCTCCGATCGTTCTCCCTCGAGCGGTTTCTTCCCACGCAGGCACACGCGGCGTCTTCTTCCCAAGCACGCACTATGGGCAAAGTTCAGTTCTCGCTCTCACGAAGCGTAAACAAGCTGGGGCCGCAACCCCGTGCGCTCGCACCGCGCGCTCGCGAAGAGTCATGTATTGAGGATCCATTACACATCCCGCCGAGGCAAGACAAACAAGTAGACAAACGAGCTGGGCCAAGCTAACAGAGCAAAGCATCCTTGTTGCAGCCGTTGCCTGATATTCGAGAGTTTTAGTAGATCGTTCCGATACCTCCGATACCACCGATAACGATGCCATGCATGCGCAAAGGCGGCGGCGGAGTATCGGGTATCGTTATAGCAGTCATCGGAACGATATACTAAAATTCTCCATTGTCGAAATCGCGAGGCTCTAGAAGTCATGAAACATATAGCCAAAACTAGAATAAGAATTGATTGATGTCCATCTTAGTATAGCGGCATATATTGCCAGACAATAGCAAAACATAGTTGTAACAGTAAGGTGATAATTAAATAATAAATAAGGTTTGGCTGGATATCCTTCTTCCTTTGCTTCTGAACAGGTCGAGCCTCGGTTGACACGTTGGTGAATAAAAAAAAAAAGTTCCCAGCATATAAATATAAGTAATAAAAAAAAAAACAGGACACTCATCACAACAATTAATTAAAATATCGGTTTAAACAAGGAAATGTAAACGCACGTTTGCCGTGTGTACCTTTCTTGGTGCCGTTCAAAAACGCACGGAGCACGAACCGACGGCAGTCTATTGCGGTGTTCTCCAGATAGACGTCCGCTGTGCCATGGACAGCGAAGGGCAGAGAGCTAAGCCGCACCATGGCCCCACTCACGAGTTTCACTCTCTCCTCAAGCCCAGAATATCAAGTCTACATCAGCCACCATTATGTTTTATTTGTAAAACCATCCGCTTGGGAGCGTCCTGCTGGAGAAAAACAGGAAGAACAAGTGAGGAAGACTATTACCATTTTTTTTTTTTTCCTTTTCAACGTGCTCGCAAAAAGCTGATTCACCAAAAAAGGGGGACTGAGACGCAGATAGCCTGGTTGGAATTCATAAATAATGTGGGCCAACCCTAGAAGTTGGAATACAAAAAAGTAAGCAGCTTTTAAAACAGGGTCAAATAAGGTGAACGAAAAAGAAAAAAAAAATCCTGTTTTCTAAGAGAAGATAATAAATGTGCAGCAACGAACGAGGATGCTCGTGGCAATGACACCTTCACATATTATCACATCTCTTTTAGCGGATTTTAGGGTAGACGGAGCGTCGTCTCGTGTTGTGGCATTATGAAAATGGTCGTAGTCACTATAACCAAGAAGGACGTTGTTAATTCTTGTCTGTGCACTTACCGCCTCGAGCTTCTCGAAGAGGCATACAATCACTTGGTGTCCTCCTCTCTCCGTCTTCGATCGCAAAGAAAAAACAAAGGGACTAAAAAAAGCGAATATAACTTGACTCCCCTTCCCCCCTTTTATTGTATAAATGCGTATTTGAATTTTTTTTTTACATTGTTGTTATGGTCTAAAAACATACTCAGGGGCCTGGTGTTCCAAAAAAAAAGGCTTTGTGGAACTGAAGAGTGCCAAGCCTTCCTTTGCGCTGGTCAATTCGCTTGGCAGTGTCACTGCGTTTGGCTTTACCAAAATAAAAACAACCCTTTCTTTAGAAGGTTGGTCCTTTAGGTTGGTCCTAAAAAAAATGTAACGGATTCCAAGGAATCCGTTACGTAAAAAGTGTAAGAGAATTACTTTAAAATTACTCTAGAAAATATGTAATTATTCCGTTACTAAATTACTGATAAATGTGAGGGAATACGAGTAATTTCGTTACTTGTAACGGATTACGTACAAGTCTGGGTCTACCCACTATTCATTCCACTCAGAGCTCGGCGTTCTCACGTCCCGGCTCGCTCTCGTCTCCTCTACTCCCTCAATTTCTCGACGCATAGTTAACTAACGGGATATTAAACATACGTTGCTTTCAATGTCTACATCTTAGTTGCCATATTGGGCAGACGCGCGGATCGCACCCCTAAACTACAGCGTACGTACATGAACATATAATAAAATTATACAGGACTTTAGAAATTAAAATTGTACTAAAGTACACTCGAAGTGTGTGTGTGTGTGTGTGTGTTTCTTATAAAAGCACAAAATTGACTTATTTTAGTGCAGTGTAAACGTCTAAACTTATGCAGAGGCCCAATTTTCGAAAATTTCTCGATATAATATTTATTGCGTAAAATTTATTGCGCAAACACCGCCCCATGATAACGAATACAAAGCATATACTTCTTTTAGCCGTAAAATGTTGTGCCCGTGAAATATTCCCGAAATCCCCCCCCCCCCCCCCCCTCCCCTTGAAAAAAAGTTCGGTTAGATCGAGCCCTCAAAAATAAAGTTGTTTACAGTATCGCTTTTTACCCAGGGCTTATTTAGAATATATTCGTAGAACCTTTTCGTTTTATATATTAATTACACGTGCCGGGCATCAAGAGATGATATGAGGAAGTAAAAATCGTTTTAAGTGATTACCATCATGAGGGAAAATATGATGACTCTGTATACCATCGCTGAAAAGTGCGTATAGGCAGATAACTTTTCTGTTTGCACCACGTACAACTTTTTACAACGATAGCTGCTGTGGGCTCTTCCCAGCACTGGAAATGACGCCCGTTGTTGATGTTTGAGACGTTGTAGTAGTTGGCGATGTAGGCCGTCCGTCGTCGATGTTGCGAAAATCGTTCAGAAAGATCGCCAGCCGCCTGCGGGAATTGAATCTGCGTCCGCTGCGGGAAAAAGCGGAGACGTTATTACTAAACTACGCCACAGCTTTTACAGCGGAGCTGTTTAAGGCTAGTTTCCCCAGGATCGTGTCCACCGCAACGAAATGAAGACGCCGAACTCTGGACACCTAACGCCATCTATGAGCGACGGAGGCAAGCCAGCTATCTGGTTGCCGCCATTGCTCATAGATGGCGGCAGCCTTTCCACTCTGTCTTGCCGAGTGGCGGCCGGCCATTACATTCCATTGTACAGCTCCGCTGGTCTTCCTTCTTCACCAAAGTGGAAACACTGAATTTTTTTTTGGTTATTGCACTGGGAACAATATATACTAAGGGCCCTTGTCGGACCTCTGTCGCGGGTTAATACACCCGCCCCCCCCCCCCCCCTTTTTTTTAGTGGTGCGTATTAGAATCATCGCATTTGGGTTATAGTGGATCAAACACGGTGATCCACTCTTGCACTGGCTTGTGGGTTTTTAGAGCGCCTTCCACTTGGTGCAAGAGTAGACGGTAATATACGTGCGCATCTTTCGCATCCTGGTCGGCATGAGCTACGCCACAGCGTTCATAACCGCTAAATGCTTTAAGTTTTTGTCACGGTGTAAGATAAAACTCTTCAGGTGAGGACAGCGCGCTCCTCGCACAGTGCAGATAAAGTTCGGCGCCGGCAGGTGACTCGTCGACCCGTGGGCACGGCAAAGACGGCTCGTGCCGCCTCATGCTCCGCACGCGCAGAGCTCCAGGGCGGTTGTCACTCGTGCAGAAAGACCACTTTTTCCGCTCTCACACACTTTCGCCGTTTGGCCGCCGGCGACACTGTCAGCCGCGGGCACGGTGGCCGCGAAATAATGCAGCCTTTCGGATGCCCGTCGAACGAACACTATCTAATTCCTAGCGCCGCGCGTTCAGCACCGCCGTGTTCTCACCTAAAGAGTATATCTTACACCGTGGTTTTTGTAGTACCCAATGCCCACGGCACGCGCTCTCTGGGCGAAAAAAAAAAAGCAAAGATATCCAACCGTGAGATGTGCGTTCACGCGCTCGGGAACACATAAAGAAACAAAAACGTTCGGAACAAAATGGTCAGATGTCTATTTTGTTCGGAACACTTTTGTTCAAACGTGACATCGATGCCCAACGACTTCGCCGTGGCGAGTCACAGCTATCGCTGTGTCTGTACTAGAGATTGACACTGGGCTGCTCAGTTTTTTGTCTGTTTGTTTGTAAAACAGTGATGGCGCGGGCGACCTGGTGTACATTTACCGTTTTCTTAAACCACCCGAGAGGTAGGGTGGTGAACGGGAAGAATCCGGATGGAACAGAGAGAAGCAGAATATAACAGATGACGTGTCAACCTTTTGAGACCTTGTCTTGTGTCACTCTGTACCTCTCTTCCACTTTAGATTCTTTTCGTTCTCCACCCAGTCTAGGGTGGTTTAAAGGCCGACGTACAACCTCGGTATTCTGCAAGGAAGATAATCCTCTCTTAGCACATCCCTCTCCTAAACTGCGAGATGGGTAGTTAAGTTGGGGCAAGGTAAAAAGTGGAGAGGATATAAGAAAGGAGGATGCGGGCAAAAGTGGAAAACGCGAAGTTTATCGCGACCTTTTAAGAAAATGGTGAACTGTGTTTTGCCGCGCAACGCGCCGAATGGGCCGTGACCTGCCCACTCCTGCCTCTCGCAGCAGGACTGCGAGTACGACAAGGTGGACATCCACAGCAAGATGGGCGACAACACGGTGCGGAAGCATGGCCTCTTCTGCGGTTCCTACCTGCCGCCCATCATCACATCGGAGGGGAACAGCCTGCGCATCGAGTTCAGCTCCGACAACTCGGTCCAGAAGAGCGGCTTCGCCGCCGTCTTTCTCACAGGTAACTGCACCGCCCGTCTCGTGCATGGATCCCTTAAAGAAAACATAATTAGAGGAAAACAACATTTAGAGCTATATGTATACGGCGCGAAACGAATTTGTAGCTGGCGCCCGCGGAAAAGGGGCAACTAGCAATCACGTGACTGGCCGCTCGTCACTTGGTGCTTGCGGTCTTTCGGGAGTTTTCTTTGGTCTCTAAGAACTACTTTCTAATCTTTTTGTGCACTTCTTTTTCTATGAAAATATTTTGATGTTTGAGAAACAAGTATAAGAAAATTGTCACTTCTGTTTTTACTCTTATACGATAACAAACAAAAGCTTCGCCATTCGCTGTTCGAAGGGGCGCGGTGTCACATGTTTTAGTTTCTAACATGTCGGTTCCCTCAAAGCGACGCCGCTGCTCGACGATCCACTTGTAACCACAACCCCTGCAAAAGGACCAGACGTATTACAGCATTGTCCTGTCGTGTTTGTTCCTCTTCGCAGTCCGTGTTTCCTGAGCTGCTTTCCCCATCATATATAACGTCAACCAACTGGCCCAGTTCGCCACCTTATTAAAGCAGCCGAACTTGCGCTCCAGGCCCGCGCGTTATGCTTTTGCTTGCCTGTAGGTCACGTGGTAGTCATCCTTTGCAAACTATAAACATATGCCCGTGCGCCTCCTTTTCCGCGGAGCACTGAGAGAACCAAGGCGATCGGTGAATGGCAAAGCAAACAAGAAGGGAAAAAAAAAAGATTAAATATTGAGATGTAACACTGAACGTGAAGTTGCTTAGCACCATAGTCACGGTCATATCGTAGATTTCACATTTCGGTTGGAAACATATTCACGACGTCATCATTTGGCAAGTTTCCAGGAGCTTACTTTCCTAGTGTATTGTAGAAAATAAAATGTAAGGCTTTTTACTTTTCCTTTCTTTTTCAAGAGCCCGAATGATACGTGAGAAATAGCCTCTAGAAGCAAAAGTAGCATCTAGCGACGTTGGAACTCCTTAGCCGATGCTATTCACGTGTTTGCTGTCCCTTCCAGCGAATGTGCACTGCGTGACACTGTTAGCCCAAACACGACATCGCTGCTTTTTCACCTTCTACCTTGAAAGGGTATTGGCGGGAACCAGACGTCACAGCTTAGATTAGTGCCCCAAATATTCACTTTCCATCGCATTAGTAGTTGTAAAAGCAGCCTATTAATTTATAAAAACGGAAATTGGTTGCTTACGCGATCAGTGTCACTCAGTGTGAATTAATCATGTGCCCTTCAATTAGAAGCGGTATTGGTATCATGACTTAGTGTACATACTGTGTCAGTTATAAAGGTGATGAACACTTATTTCTTCATTTAAGCTACACGACTATTAGAGCGCAATGCTGGTCGCCCCTCTCATTGGACTAAAAGAAAACCAATGTTTGCTGTACCGAATGGATCGCGGTACATTATACAATCAGGGACTTCAGAGAATATGGGTCAATCTTTCCCTGCAGGTAGCAACTATTGGTGCCACACGTGCTTTGTGGAAACTAAAAGGAAAGTAGACGTGAAAAACAGTCATTGCCAGGTTATGTGCCATTCACATAACCTATTGCTCCTTCACTTATTCTCATTAAAAAAAGAATTAAGCGAAAGTGAGGGCGATGACTTGAGTCCGACTTGAGCCGACGTGCAGCCCATCACCTGACATCCCCACCCCGGCCTCTTTTATCCGCAGACAAAGACGAGTGCGCGCACAGCAACGGCGGCTGCCAGCACATCTGCAAGAACACCGTGGGCAGTTACAGCTGCGCCTGCCAGAACGGCTTCGTGCTCCACCCGAACCGCCACGACTGCAAAGAAGGTGAGTGGCGGCGTCCACCGCAGCCAATGGCCAAAGCACACGGCTGGTCCGATACGGCGGAAGCAGCCAGGTGGCGCCACTACTACACACTTGGGCAGCCTCGTCTCTCTCCACCATGGTTACTACCACCGCCTCCACCGCCACCACCACCACCACCACCACCACCGCTGCCGCCACAACCACATCCGCCACAACGACTATTTCCGCCACCTCCGCCAAAGCTTCCACCGCCGCATCCTCCTCAGCTGGCGCGGCCTACGTTACCACCACCGCTACCTCCAGCGCGGCCGGTCGTGTCACCTCCGGAGCCACGAATGTCGGTGTACAGAGGAGGACCACGCGGTCCGTTCCACGGAGGACGTGTCGTCAGGATCTTTCGGGAACCGAGATTCGGGTTTGGGCCTCGCAGATATCCAGTTCTCGTACCGGGACCGCCGTGGTACGGTTTCCCTTACGAACGCCATCGGGTGTCACGAACTTCGTGACGAAGGCGTGAAGAAATTTGTTAGGATTGAACTTTATACCGCTTGCTAATATCTAAGTCGATACGAAGCACGAAGGTAGTCGAAGCCGGTAGGGAGAACTTCAGAAGGATCCCTCGGAGTGGCGGTTGACATTTTGCTACGGGACTTGATCTACTTCAGCGTCTTCAATTTCAGTTTTAGATATTAAGGCAAGAGGCCTCTAATTCTCTTCGCGAAATCTCGGCTACCGCAGTGAGGTATCCAGGAGGCTGCTTTGCAAGAGCTAATACCTATCGGGTGTCTGAAAAGGATACACCGAGCTTCAAAATCGGTATAAGGAAGGACTTATACGGCTGCGTTTTGTTTGTTGTCGGGTTGCCACGCTACAGTTTCAAACATTCAATCAAACCACGTTAGGGGAAAAAAAACAGCAGACTTGTAACCAGCGTCCAGACTTGATACAAGTTTACCATTTTTTTAGACCACCTGAGACTGGGTGGAAGAAACACGACGAACGTCTGACGTTGAGACGTTCGTCGTGTTTCTTCCACCCAGTCTCAGGTGGTCTAAAAAAATGGTAAACTTACACCAGCTCGCCTGCGCCTTAACTGTTTTTTCATTGATACAAGTCTCAGGACGCTGGTTATGCGCTCCTATTTCTAGGAGCGCATGACCCAATCAAATTCATCGACTCATAAAAAAAAATTGCATAAAACGAAGAAAAAACTATTGAAAGATGTTTACTAGAGATATAAATTCTCGTGGAATATCAGAGCGTAGCGACATTGGACACAACAAACTACATTTTAATACAGTGCTGTGCCAGTGAGAGATACGGCTGTAGCGTACTTTTGCGCTATGTTTTGAAAGTATTGTATGAAAAAAAAATCTATTCACGTATAAATGGTGGAGAAAAACATACACCCTGTATATTCTTCGCAATGTTAATTTTGGCGGTACTCTAATAGCGCCAAAATATTTAGGCCCTAAATGTACGCACGTACCTGTTAATACTTAATCCTACTACTTCTAAAAAAAGCGGGAGTACCTATTTTTGCGCGTATAGCATTCCATGCCAAACGTCTCAGACGGTGATACCCACCGTCACCAATTTATTTGAAAAAGAAATCGTGGTCGTTTGCTAGATTCTAAATAAAAGTTTCGACAAAAATATTTAAAAACAAGGTCTTGATCACGGGAGCGATCGTTGAAATTTCTGTATGAAACCGAACTAGGCGCAAGTTAATAATTTCGAAAAAATCTAAATGATTCCAATGGAATAGCTAAGACACTTTTAAATACTCTGATGACATTGTTTTTTCGTGTAACGCCAAAGTTCATAATATGTGACAGTTTTTTTTTTTTTTTTTTAGTAAACAAAAAGAAAACGAGACATGTTAAACATTTAAAATACAAAGCACCGTTGAACTTGGATATCATTTAAAGCCTTATTTGTGTTCGGCTGTTGCTATATTTTACGTTTAAAATCGAACAAACCCCCCTCCTAGAAAAAAAAAAGAAAAAAAAATCATCTCAACGTTGTTTAAAACTTATTTTTTTCTGCAGATCTAGATTAAGCATTAAGGCCCTCCTGATCAATATATGCGGGACGGCTCAATAGGCACATCATCTTGTTACCTTAAACTACTTTTTTTTTTTTTTATCCGAGTAAATTTTGTTTTAGGCGAGAAATAACGTTCTTGGAGTTCAGCACCCATCTAATCGATTTTTCTGGTACCGTACTGTGCCTCCACCGCACAACACGCTTTCGCCGCTAGTAATTCGAGAGATACACCACATGCCTTCTTTCTTTTACTTTACTTATTCTACTACAACACTAATCAATGTAAACATGGTACATGGCCCAAACTCGATGCTATTTGGGGCCCGAGGTCATGTCGAGTGTTTCGAATAACTAGTGGCGTTTACGCGGAGTATGTAAAAGTAATTGATCTATCATTCTCTAATCACATTGACTTTTTTATATGTTTGCCTCATACCTAGTTCGGCTTCGCTGCAAAATTTTCAAAGGGCGCTCGCGTGATCAAATTTTTTTTTTTCTAAGCAAAAATCGATCTAACAAACCCCCAACCACTTTTTTTAAAAAGAAATTTGCAATGGTAGGTATAACTGCCTGGAACGTTTTGCGTGAAATGACCCAGCACTGAGAGAGCTAGTCTGATTTATGCATCCGGAAACTAATGAACGACAAAAAGCAAACACAAGAACTGCAATATCGGTGAGGCAATGTTGAATATGACATGAGAATTATGTCTAAAGTTCTTGTACCTCGTTTTATTATACGTGTTATGATGGCAGTCGAAGGCAGGAACACACTCACTGAATCCATAAGTCACTGGACCTTTCCTGTACATGATTGATTTAGCGACGGTAGAACACGTACAGAAACATGACAAACACTGCGACGTTGCTTTTTTGACGTTGTTTGCTTAATTCCACCAGCTCGTAGCTTCGGCTGCGTTCAGACTTATAGGTGAAACGAAGTCTAGATAAGAAGTGCTTTTCATGCTTCGTGCAATACCGACGTTCTTCGAACCGCCAACTGCGTAACTGCGCAAAATTAAAAAAAAAAAAAAAATGCCGGCGAGCACAGCAGCAAAATGAACTTAAAAACGTTACTTTGTTCCAGCAAACTTTTTTTCGTCATTAATGTTGATTTTCGTTGTTGTTTAAAAAAAAAGAAAAGTATATCAAGAGACCTTAATCAGGTATATCCAGTGTCACGTCGCATTTTTTATTAGAGGTGCGCGAATACCGGTTTGAATCGAATAGGCCTGTGTCATTCCTAGCTTTACACGCCTACTTTTTTAGATATGTTGTTTTGAGGGGTGTGTGAATATTGCTTCGAAACGCAGCGCTACTAAATTCTAACCGGTAGTCCCACACCCCTAATGTTACCGAGAATATAAACTTTTCTCTCGGCCTTGTTAGTCATGTTAGTCATGTGCCTAGTGTCCTTTATAAGATCATGGAGTTTTAGCCGATTATATTTACATTCCGAAAATGATGCTTGTATGCACCATGGCACGTGGCGCTCCACGTGCGTGCAGCGCACGCGCATGGACGCCTGAACAGTTTCGGGTATTCTTGTCGGAGTGTAAAAACGGTCTGCGCAAATCTTTCTTTTGTGGTGTATAGACGCTTTGCAGCAGCTGTGCATGGACGCCGCCATAACTGCCCTTCAGTTTTGTTTCCTCTTATTTCGTTTATTTCTCTTCATCATTACCCCAGCAGGCCAGGTTATTGCCACATTAGATTCAACTGTCCTTTTCTAAAGCATCGGCCTTTGTAGAGGATCGTCAACTACCGTTTCAGTTACTCGGCATGTCGGTAAGACAAGAGAAGGTCAGCAATGGCGGCTGTAATTTGGCGCGTGTGTAAAGCGTCTATTGCTCTTGGAGTGTTATGGTGGAAAGGAAATGCACGGGTGTTTTACTTGCAACCTCTGGCTACACCTAGTCATGCTAGTAGTCTTTCCCAGCGTATTGCAAGAAAATGTATTTAATAGGCACGCATCGGAAAATACGAAAAGAAAGATTAATTATATGTCATGCTATTCCAACTGTAACGCCGCGAACGACCTGTGGGAGAACTTTTTGCGTATACAAATTGTGATCCTTATTACTTACCGTGGAAGAAACCTAATTTTGTTTTTCTGGAGCTAAAAACTGGAATGGCCGCTCCAGCTCGCCATAGATAATTAGTCAGTCAAAGTTAATAAAATTTTTATGGTAGTCTCCTTGCATCTCTGTGAACGAGTCTGTTGAACTCGCCAAAAGACCGATCAATGAAAGGCAATCCCAATATTTTATGGTTCTTCGCTCGCATGGCCAAAGAACACGTCTTACTGCTGTGTATCGGTCACTGGCGTGTACCCAACGACCCAATCCAGACGCCAAATAAGACGGATGAGTTTTTCGAGTGTGAAACCGTCCCCCGGATATCTGTTATTGTCTAGACATAACGTGTCGCCGGCGTATGTAAATTGAGAAGTTTTCCTGTGGGGTATCATTCTGGTAATATCGACACGGTGTAGTAGACATTTGTTACGTTTGTTTTGTTGTGCGTTTGACGGGAGTACATTTTGAAAAGCTCCTTTTGCCAAATATTTGAAGTTTGTGGTTCGAATATCAAAATAAAAGTTGCTGCCACAGGCCGAGCTTGTTTACTTTTCGTTCCTATTGCGTTAATCTATTGGTTTTGTGCGTATTGTGTGTAATGTATTAGTTTCATCGCAACGTGCACGCGACGCTCGTGCAGTTGCAAAAGTTTAGCGAGAACGCGTTTGCCTTCACGTGTTAATCGAAAGCAGTACACCTTAATAATTATTCATCTGTGTTTTCTGTCAAATCTCGTGCTGTTTAAATTTAAAACGATTATTCTATCATGATAGAATGATTATTCTATCATTATAGATATTATAGTTCTTAACTCCCGGTGGCGCCCTCCAGTTGTCTGGGGAAGAGAATGGAGGATATAATAGATTTAGATTTAGAGTGCTATACCTTGAAAGCG